TTACAGTGTTAGATTAGTTGTGGTTGTTTAGAATTTGCAGTAAACCTAATACCAAGAAAGAAGTTTGCTCGTATGTGTGTGTGTGGGGAGGGGGGAGCTAGGAATGTGGCCTGGTAGCCACATCCCTAGTGCCACATCCTGGGAGCTCCCATTAAGAAGAGGACATAGGGTATTCCCATTGGTGGATATTTAGGAGTAAAAGAAATAGCAAAAACTGCCACGAATTTCTTCTGGTCATCTATAGCAGTGGAGGTATCCGCCATGTTAGGAAGTATGTAACATGTCAAATGATTAGGAAGCCTTGTCCTATTAAACCAGCTCCATTATTCACAATACCAGCATTTGGTGAATTTTTCTCCAGGCTGGTTGTTGACTGTGTTGATTCCTTACCTCAGATTCATATGAGGAATGAGTAACTGTTCACTATTATGTGTATGTCTATCAGTTATCCTGAAGCAATACAATTAGCAAGCATCAACATTCGCTCTGGCAAGATTCTTTGCACATTAAAAGGTGCAGCATGAAATTCAGTCAGACCAGGCTCAAACTCCACGTCTAAGATCTTTCGAGAAGTTTTCTTTTAAATGAGAACAAATGGGATCTCTTCCATGTAGCATCTTGGAAGTCAAGGTGCAATTAAGAGATTCCAGATACTAAAAAGCATGTTAAAAGCGTATATGGAGCACCATGCCTCGGGTAGCAAGGACTGAGTACCTTTATTGTTGTTAGGTAAAAGGGCACAGATGCAACTGATGTGATGTTTTATTGTGCCAACGTATTGCTCCTGGAGCTTTGTCAAGCCTTTACCAACAATACAGGGACTCAGAGAGGTGAGAAAGTATAAGCCCTGCAGTAGGCCTACTGGTCCAGGTAAGATAAGATAAGAAAGATAGATATGTATCGGATTTTTAACCCGGTGGGTTATGCCAAAACCCCAAAGTAGGCGTAGAGATGCTTAACTTATTTCCCATTGGGTTCATTAATCTGTCCCCCAGGTAGCGACCACACCAGTTAAAACCAGTACCATTGCTCGTTTTGTGAACAAAGGTAGACGTGTGCACATGTTTCCACCCCGGGAATCAACCCGGGCCCCGGTTGTTAAAGCGGGCATTGACCACAGCCACTCACGGGTCGGCTGTAGATGTTGGTTCGTAGTATGTAGTTGATCCTCAAATATTTAGACTCCCTTTTTATTAATGGGGTTGAAATGTTTAAAGAAATAAAAAGCATTTGGTTTGGCGGAAATTAGCTTTTGTCACTAGGTGGGATACAACTTCATAAATGTTTAGAGAGTTCCTTGTGTTTTGTACTTCTGTATGCATTAATGTGTTCACAGATTTGTTGTGGAGTCATTGCTGTTTTGTAATTCCTTGTCACAGCTTCCGCAACGGGTGTAGGAACGCCTCTGCGGTCAAATTCTTACTTTAGTCGTGGTCAGGGCTTTAAAATGTGCTTCGGTAACGACTCTAGTTTGGTTTCAAGTACTTTGGACAAAGAATTTAATGCTGGAAAGAAATTTGACTGTTTAAAAGCGAGACAAAACCTGGGGCAGGTTGATGTTATGGTAGCTTTCTAAGGCAATTTTCACTTAATGCCTTTTTGTAGTTATTTATTTTTTAAGAAATTATGGTTTGTGAAAAAGCATTTTGTGTGGGTCTGAATGGTTTTAATAGGTTTGTTGTTAAAGGCTGATGTAACCTTTTCCCAACGAAATAAGGGTCTGGATTCTGCTCCAATTCCTGAATAAGCCTGAATTTTCATCCACTTCCTACAGCACTGTATAATCCCTATGGGTTGGGGTTCCCAAACCCACCGACAAGAATATTTTAATCCCTTTAAAAAGAAATTAAACTCTCGGCTATATAAATATACGATTTAGAGAAATGCATATCTCAGGGTATCCATCTTTGTAAATTTATGTATTAATGGTGTTTCTTCGTAATTAAGCCTTGTTCAAGTTAAATTTATTTCATATTATGTAAATAACTTACATGATGCATTACATAAATGTACTGTTTATTACACTTTTATGGTTTCATTTAATTAAATCTGAATGTATATTACATTCAGATACAACGTAGGGGGTTGAAAGGGGTCTGGAATTTCACGACACCATACCTGGCAGCTACTGGGTTGGGTGTCAGTCTGGATTTGTGTTTGGTGCAAATAACACATTGGTGAGGATTTTTCCAGCTGCCACCTGGTTTCCGTCGGAACGAGCTCTTTTATATACCCGGATGCCATATAAATTCCAATAGGGTTAACACAATAATTAATTATATTATGTTGGAAGAATTAATTGCTGCCATGTATTTTATATTTATTTTCTGTTCTATTAATATTTTTTTTAGTTTAATAACTTGCTCAATATTTTGAATTAGTTTCTTTTTTGTACACATACTGACATAACGTAGTTACTATGTCTTAAGCATTAGATTGTACCACATACTTCTTTAATAAACAGTCACCTCTGCCATCTCTCTCCTCTCTCTCTCTCTCTATCTGCCTCTCTCTCTCTGTAATGTTTCTTTAATTTACCCAAGTGTTCTTACAGGGTTAGGTTAAGAGTTCTTACCTCTATTTACAAGCTAAGAGTTGTTACCTACCTCAGGTCATTTGAAAGCCTTTTTATTTTTATTAGACATAAAAATTGGAAAAGATGAAGCTGGAACCATCTGTGGGCAAGTGATTTCATTTGTTCAACTATTTCATCGATGTCATTACCCCATGTGAACATATTCCAGACTCGGGTTATCATTGAAATGAATGATCTCAGATGAAGTGCTAAGCGAAAATCTGGGACTGTTACTGAGTTATCCCTACTATCATACTTCCATTCAATGCTAAATGTAATTGATTTGTGGTCGCTAGCACCCAGTTCCTCTGAAACTTCTAAATTATTAACATTATTGAGAAGGGTACAGCCAGAGTGTATTTTGTGTTTGTGCCAGTCTTGTCTCTACTCGATCACCACGAAATGGAGCCTTAACAACATGAGCCTTGTACATAACAATAAAGCCACCCACATCCTTCCGGTATTGAAGGCTCTGATGAAATGACAGATCTGTCCAGTCCGGGGTGCAGATAGGGGATGAGTCATCTTGCTCTGTTCTCTATTCTGTCAAGAAGTCCTAAGTGAGGCAGGGGGCAGGAAATCAAAGAACGTGAAGCATACTCAAGGTGTGAGTGCACGTGTGCCTCGTACAGTCTTGCAGTCTCTACTGTCGATCACATGCGAGTCTCGTCTAAGTGTTGTAAGCTTCCTGGCCGTTTTGTTTGCGAGATTTACTACATGGTTCTTCATAGTCAGTTTGGAATCAAATATCACTTCAAGGATATTAACCTCATCCTCGGATTCCAACACTCCCATCTATTTTTTTTACCACTGCTTCAGCATTACCATTATGGTGCCTAGACACCATCATCATTTATACTTTACAGAATTTGGTTAAGAGTTCCTACCTTTATTTTCAAGCTAAAAGCTTTTACCTACCTTAGCTCTCTCTTTGTCTCTCTCTTATTGATTTATCGTCATTAAACAGACAAATTCTCATATTTTATACCCAGCATTCTTTTAACCATTAAATTTTTCTTGGTAATAGAACATGCACAGTATTTACTGGAAGGATAATATCAGTTAACTATTATTGTATTCATGGGGAGGAACACTAAACTTGTAGGGGTCTTACAAGGCCTGAGGACTGGATACGACCAATTCCTTTGATCCAGAGCCTCTCACTGGCATCCAGCCTACCTGAAGGTACATATACAAATAATTTTAGTCTGCACATCTTACTACTCTTGTACTGCATTACTTATTATTATTATTCTTACAATAAAAACTAAGCGCTGTATGAGAGGGTTGTATGACTCACATGAGTCATGCAGCATCCATTTTTTTTGGTTCATTTTAATTTACAAACATTACGTTTACTATGGGCTGAATCTACATTTGATCCATTTTGTAGTTTAACTTAAAAATCAGCGTAACTTTACCCTAACGCACTAACAAATACCACCAGCATTACTTTCACCTGATGTAATGACAAAAATCATTACTGGTTAAACTATTCTTTGTTTAACTTTACATTTGTTATATTCGAAAATAAATTCTGTACTACACAGAGTTCGTGCTATATTATCATTTGTAAACTATTTACTGTAGTTTGGATAATTAAGCTTTTAATATATTTTTGTGAAGTGCTTCCTTCAAGAGGGGCTCTTTAATGCCAGTGAAGGGGTTATGATCTAAAGTGATCAGGGTTAGCTTCTTCCTTGAATCAAACCTGATTGCCTTCCATTTTTCACGACGCTGTATGATCCTGTCGAGTTTCAAAGCTTCTTAACGAATATACTACTACTACTACTACTATGACTTCTACTACTACTATTACCACTACCACTACGTGACCAAGGAAGGTTTTCTAATGCCAGTATGCTTTTGATTTAAGGAATTGGACCTGACTGCCTCTTTCATGGATCGAATCTGATTGCCTACTATTTCCCCAAGCGCTGTATAACCCCTACAGGTTTGGCTTCCCCTGAATATAATAAGTGCTAAACCTGTGTGGATCATTCACCATATGAAATGATGGAGGCTCAAACCTCCGTTCACTAAGCAACATAAACAAGCTACCCGAGTATACTCTCCTAGTAACACTACTTCCTCTACACATGTAATTTTGTATTAAAATTCGAATAGTTTTTATGCAAACATTTTTCAACTTGTAAGTGTAAAAATTTCCCTTTCAGTTTGGATTTCCCTATCTTACTGGGAGACGGCCGATTTTTTTTTTTAACACACCGGCCGTATCCCACCGTAATTTATACAGGAGTTACTAGTGCCTTGCTCCCAGCATTTTAGTCGCCTCTTACGACACGCATGGATTACGGAGGAAGAGTTCTGTTTCACTTCCCCGTGGAATGACAGCCGATATAAAAAAAAAATATGAATGCAAAATTACACCACACTTTGTATCTAAATTAATTTTTTTCAACAGACTTGCTGGTGATGTGGAAAAGGCGAAGATGTTAGCAACAGAGTTCTACACCAGCACACTGCCACCCGTCATGAGGGAGCTGGACCGCAGACTTGACGGGCGAGAGTGGTTCTGTGGAGATAAGGTAATGCATATCTGATATGTATTTATAACACACAGCATTCTAAACATTTTCAGTCACACTTTGATAATTTGTTAGTGTTATGATTTACATAATTTTTTTAATTAATTTTTTTAGTAGTCAAAGTCATTCCAGCAATAGTCATGTATGTAAATTTAAGGATGGTGGTTTGCATTAGTTGAATAAAATAATACGAAAAATATGGAAATTGCGATTATGGTGTCATTTTATTCCTCAATCATTTCTACAAACAAAAAATAAAAATTAATAACAATGAACAATATTTTACTAAAAACAGCGCTAGATTCATATGGGTAATACATCATTGTATGGTGATGCGTAATGGAAGGTTTAGTGGAGTTGAGGGTTATTACGGGCACAAAATTAATGTTAAAAGTGTTGCAACAATTTAATTTACGTTAAAAAGCGAGAGGTAAAGGCAAAGTTGTAAGGGACTTTTTAGGCAGATGAGGTCAATCAGAGTGAGCACGTCAGTGTTTAACAAATATCTAAAGTGCCTTCTGCATGTTCTGTGATAGAGAGGACAGACTGTTGAGATATGATGAACCTATAGGTTGACCTGGGTGCCAAGTGTCTCTCCATGTAGTACCCACTTTTGACCTTCAGATTCGTAATTCAGAGCCAGAGATGGCCAGGAACCCAGTCGCAGGTTGCTGGAAAACAAGTTGCGCTCTCAGACCAACATTGTCGCCAGCTGTTTTGAGGTTCCTGAGTATTGGAAAATAGTCTGAGAAAAGAACACTCACATTAGAGACTGGTAGGTCGTAAACAGTGAAATGAATAGTTAAGTTCCCGTGCTCGTTTCCTTGAGCATCATTTCAACCAGGGACCCAGTTAAAAACATGACTTTTGTGCTTGCTGGAAGTGAAACATAACTATTTTTTTACATGAAATACAATGTAATATAAGGAGTCAAATATCTGGGTAGCTTGTGATACACTTTGGGAGTCTAAAACAACAACGAATAAGGTGTACATGGTTGCAAAGTGTATGAGTGTTGCATGCAACTCTTCCATGAAAATGCTGATTACTGTTTCAAAAAACAGCTATACGTATATCCTACTCCTGGGAATTTGGAGCGATATCATGGTACTAGAATGCGACTGAAAATTTTCAAGAGTGAGCACAAGTTTGTAGTGAACATGAGAGCTCTCAGGCACGGAAGGGAAGAACAAACCTGAATTGCCAGAACCTGCCAAGAATACGGAATACGGAAATTAAAGGAACATATTAAATACAAGGTAATAAAGGTAAGGGAAGTGGACAAAACAGCAATCAGCATAATGTCGGCTTTTGTATACAGGCTTTTGATTTGGAAAGAATGAAAAGGCACTCTGGCACAAATGTAATCTCTGATGAACAGGATCAAGTTGCAAAGAGGAACTGGGAAGGCTGAAAAATATATACAATCTCCGTTATTATAATAGAAAAGAAGTGCTAAACAACAAGGGTTATACGATGCAAAGGGCAGGGAAGGATGCAGGGGTAATGGGTAGCAAGAGGGAGAGGGATGATTAGGTTATGGAGTGCAGCGGGGCAGTGGATAGTGCAGGGGTAGAGGGTAGCTAGAGATTAAGGTAGAAAGGACTGGAGTTTACCTGGAGGAAGGAGAGGAGAGTGCTAGAGGCATCACCAGAATTTGTGTAGTAAATCAGTTGCTGTCAAAAAGTTAACGAGTCTGGATTAAAGGAGGGTTCATCAGCAAGAAGGGAAGGTAAAGAAAGAGCAGCAGTGCGGAGACGATGTTGGAGGTAAATTCTGCGTGCTCGTTGATAGAGTGGGCAGTCCAACAGAATCTGGCTAACAGATACTGGAACATGACAATTCTCACAGAGAGGAACAGGGGACCTCTCCATGAGATACCCATAAGACCAGTGTGGCCAATGCAAAGACGGGAGTCTCACCCAACCCCAACACTGATGACAAGACAGCCAGAAACCTATACTCGGTTTAATAGAATGAAGTTTGTCATGGAGCAGATCAAACCAACGTTGCTGCCAATGGGTGCAAAGGTGGGTACATATAAATGACCTCATAGGGGACAGGAGCCGTAGTGGAGAAACAAGTGTAGTCAAAGATAAGATAAAACCAATATTGCAAACTAGAAATACCACAGGAAATAGCAAACAAGAGGACTCCACTAGCAATAGTGAGGATATATTACCAAAAACAACTGGTGGGAGCTCCATTGTTGGTGCTAGGGAGGATAGGAATAAGACAGGGAAATATGCACCAACAGGGAATACAGTCACAGAAACCCAAGGCAAACGGAAACCAAGCCTGTGCACATACTATGCACTTGGTATCTGTAAACATGGGAAATCTGGAAAAACAGACGGGACGTGCAACTATGCCCACCCTAGAAAATGCCATGCCCATATGACAACAGGAAAATGCAAACTCCCTTCCTGTAAGCTTTTTCACCCTGAAATGTGTACCTCTTCAGTACAGGAAAGACTGTGCTATAACTTAAATTGCCAGGCACACCATCTAAAGGGTACAAAAAGATACAAAACATCCAGGCCATGGGAAAACCTGGGTAGCCACAGCCACTCAAGAGGGAGAGGTTTTTTAGTGCCAGGAAGGAAAAAAAAAACTGGCAGGAAATGGCAGAAATCGTACACCAAATTCAGTCATTCCTGGAGTGGAACCACAGTCGATGGCCTCCACTCCAAACCAACAGATACAGATACTAATGCCGGAAAAAAAATCCCCCCCCCCCAGTACCAACAATACCACCAGTCCGATGACATTCTTCTTTGCAAATATACAGGGTCTAACGCCAGCAACAAACAACAAAATACCTTTCATCCGTGGACTGCTTGCAGAGGCAAAGGCAATGTTCGCGGCTATCACTGAGACCCACATAAAGGATCACTTGGACAACGAAATATGGATCCCAGGTTACAACCTATACAGATGTGACAGAGTGAACAGGCAAAAGGGGGGGGGGGTGGCCTGTACATTGCAAAGTCACTTGTTTGCACAGAACTGCTAAATGCCTCAAATGATGTAGTGGAAGTTTTAGCAGTAAAGGTCGAGAACCAAAACCTAGTCATTGTGGTAGTCTACAAGCCTCCAGATGCAACATCCCAGCAATTCCAGGAACAGCTGCTAAAAATTGACCATTGTCTGGAAAATCTTCCAGCTCCTGCACCCAACATCTTGCTCCTGGGGGATTTCAACTTAAGGCACCTAAAATGGAGGAATATAGCAAATAATATTGTTGCAGTAATAACACCAGGAGGCAGCTCTGATGAAAACTCACACTCACACGAGCTTTTAAATCTCTGCACACAATTCAATTTAAACTAGCAAATAATAGAGCCTACTAGACTGGAGAATACACTAGACCTCATCTTCACTAACAATGATGATCTGATAAGAAATGTCACCATATCAAAAACAATATACTCAGATCACAATATAACTGAGGTTCAGACATGTATACGTGGAGCCCCAGACTGACATAATGTGACTAGTCACGAGGGGGTATTCACCATTTCAACTTCAATAACAAAAACAAAGTGGGACCAAGTAAACCAAGTCCTAACCGATATAAGCTGGGAAGATATACTAAGCAACACAGACCCCAACTTATGCCTAGAACAGATTAACTTGGTGGCACTCGATGTATGCACAAGGCTTATTCCTCTAAGAAAAAGGAGGAGTAGATGTAAAATAGAAAGAGACAGGCGCTCCCTTCACAGGCGACGGAAAAGAATAACAGAGTGGCTAAAAGAGGTCAATATATCTGAAATGCATAGGGAGACACTGGTCAGAGAAATAGCAAGCATCGAACTTAAGCTAAAGGAATCTTATAGGAGTCAGGAATCGCGGGAAGAACTAAAAGCCATAAATGAAATCGAAAGAAACCCAAAGTATTTCTTCTCCTATGCCAAATCAAAGTCGAGAACAACTTCCAGTATTGGGCCCCTACTTAAACAAGATGGGTCCTACACAGATGACAGCAAGGAAATGAGTGAGCTACTCAAGTCCCAATATGACTCAATTTTTAGCAAGCCGCTAACCAGACTGAGAGTCGAAGATCAAAATTAATTTTTTATGAGAGAGCCACAAAATTTGGTTAACACAAGCCTATCCGATGTTATCCTGACGCCAAATGACTTCGAACAGGCGATAAATGACATGCCCATGCACTCTGCCCCAGGGCCAGACTCATGGAACTCCATGTTCATCAAGAACTGCAAGAAGCCCCTATCCCGAGCCTTTTCCATCCTATGGAGAGGGAGCATGGACACGGGGGTCGTCCCACAGTTACTAAAAACAACAGACATAGCCCCACTCCACAAAGGGGCAGTAAAGCAACAGCAAAGAACTACAGACTGATAGCACTAACATCCCATATCATAATCTTTGAAAGGTCCTAAGAAGCAAGATCACCACCCATCTAGAAACCCATCAGTTACACAACCCAGGGCAACATGGGTTTAGAACAGGTCGCTCCTGTCTGTCTCAAGTATTGGATCACTACGACAAGGTCCTAAATGCACTAGAAGATAAAAAGAATGCAGATGTAATATATACAGACTTTGCAAAAGCCTTCGACAAGTGTGACCATGGTGTAATAGCACACAAAATGCGTGCTAAAGGAATAACAGGAAAAGTCGGTCGATGGATCTATAATTTCCTCACTAACAGAACACAGAGAGTAGTCTTCAACAGAGTAAAGTCCGAGGCAGCTATGGTGAAAAGCTATTCCACAAGGCACAGTACTCGCTCCCATCTTGTTCCTCATCCTCATATCTGACATAGACAAGGATGTCAGCCAGAGCACCGTGTCTTCCTTTGCAGATGACACCCGAATCTGCATGACAGTGTCTTCCATTGCACACACTGCAAGGCTCCAGGCGGACATCAACCGAATCTTTCAGTGGGCTGCAGAAAACAATATGAAGTTCAAGTTTAAGTTTAATATGTTTATTATGCACCCCATACCCATCCTGTGGGCGGTAGTCAAAAGATTACAGAGGTACATAATTGGTCCAGGGACTGGACTCCAAAGTTTTGATAGCTGAGCAAGTTACAGAGGCAATGAACTCACAATTTACAAAGGTAATGAACTCACAATTTACAAAGGTAATGAACTCACAATTTACAAAGGTAATGAACTCACAATTTACAAAGGTAATGAACTCCAGGTAAGTCTGGTCACAATCATAACAAGTTACAACGATGAGAAATTTCAATTACTCAGATATGGTAAACACGAGGAAATTAAATCTTCATCAGAGTACAAAACAAATTCTGGCCACAAAATAGAGCGAAACACCAACATCAAAGACCTGGGAGTGATCATGTCGGAGGATCTCACCTTCAAGGACCATAACATTGTATCAA